GTTAGGCCCATTCATCTAACCCCATCTTCCTCAAAGTGGTAGGGGATGCATTCCTCCCTTTGTAGGAAAAGCTTCAGCTATCTGCTAGCTAGCTGCCAATGTTTTCCCCATCAACTTTTACCATGTGAGGTTTCATTTTCAGTACAAAAGCCTGCAACATTTTAAAATGCATCAGCACTTCCAGCTCAATGGAGCAGTTAAAAAAAAAAACACTACTATTGTTTCCATATTTTACTAAGTGCTAGTTCTGAATATACCTGACTCTTTGCCACATTGTCCATTTGCCATTTTAGTTCCATCTTATGTAGCATACTGGGCCTTAGTGCAGGAATGTGTGCATAATAGTGTGCACAGGTGAGAACTACAGCTCCACCAAAGTGCTGTTTGGGACTTGTCCAGTATTTCAGTGCAGATAAAACAGACTGGAATAAATTCCTAGCTAAGCAGATGTCCCAGAGGAGACATTCCCTGCCTCAAAAAGGTGGTGTAAAATAACTTCATAGATGTTAAGAGGCATTCATATTACACATGGAGTGCTAAATGTACTTAGTGTAAATAAAATGTGCTTTAAGCAGCATTATGAAAACCAACACAAGCATTTTGAAGAATGTTAAGGGGGAAGATAGGCATTATACTACCACAGAAGTAGAGTAAGGGTGCGCCATTTTTAAGTACTACTTTTTAGCATTCAATAATTACTAATGCAGGTATTTTAAATAAAAGTTTAATGTACATTTGTGTGTTAGTGTTGCAGTAGCTATAAAGAATGTTCTTTTTTATTGCACTAATCATTGCCACTTTACTGAACAGAGTCTTATTTGCATGCTTTATGATTCAAGTATCATTAGAGGTGGCTTTGGAACAAGTTGATAAACTTAATAGTAATAACCAACTGGGACCAAATAGCATTCACTCAAGAGTTCTGAAACAACTCAAATGCAACTAACTGTGGTTTGTAACCTATCCTTTAAATCAGCTTCTGTATCTGATTATTGGAAGATAGCTAATGTGAAATCAACATTCTAAAAGGGCTATAGAGGTGATCTTGACAATTACAGACTGATAAGTCTAATAACAGTACCAGGTAAATTAGTTGAAACTAGGATATAAAATAATCAGACACATAGGCTACGTCTACATTGGCAAGATTTTGCGCAAATACTTTTAACGCAAGAGTTTTTGTGTTAAAGTATTTGCACAAGAGAGCGTCTACACTGTCATGTGCTTTTGCGCAAAAGCATCCGTGCCAGTGTAGACACTTTTGTGAAAGAAAGCGCCGATGGCCATTTTAGCCATTAGGCTTTCTTGCGCAAGAAATTCATGTTGCCTGTCTACACTGGCCTCTTGCACAAGAACAGTTGCGCAAGAGGGCTTATTCCTGAGCAGGAGCATCATAGTTCTTACGCAAGAAGCACTGATTTCACACATTAGAATGCCAGTGTTCTTGCACAAGAACTCTCCGCCATTATAGACATACATGTTTTTGCGCAAAATCGGGTGCTTTTGCGCAAAATCATGCCAATGTAGACAGACATAGATGAACAAGTGTTGGTTTCAATAAAGGGAAATCATGCCTTATTAGAAGTACTAGAGTTCTTTGAAGGGGTCAACAAGCATGTGGACAAGAAGTGGTGGGGGTATCCAAGTGTACTTAGATTTCCAGAAAGCCAAATTTTACAAAGTCCCTCACCAAAGGCTCTTAAGTTGTCAAGGGATAAGAGAGAAGGTTCTCATATAGTCTGATAATTGGTTAAGAGATAGGAAACAAAGGGTAGGAATAGGAATAAATGGTCAGTTTTCAGACTAGAGAGAGTTAACTAGTGGTGTCCCCCAAGGGTCCATACTGGGATCAATTCTATTCAACATATTTATAAATATGATTGAGGAAAGGGGTAAATAAATGAGGTGGCAAAACTTGCAGATGATACTAAACTGCTCAAGATTAAGAACAAAGCAGACTGAAGAGCTTCATGAAGGGTCTCACAAAACAGCAAATTAATTTTAATGTTGATAAATGCACAGTAATGCATATTGGAAAAAAAATAATCCCAACTATACATACAAAATTTAGCTATTACCACTCATGAAAGATCTTGGAGTAACTGTAGATTGGGGTGGGCAATAAATTTTCAAGTGGCTCCAGGCCACCCCAGAAGGGGCAGGGCTAGGATGGTTCCTGGCTTGCCCACTCACAGACCATAACTGATCTGGGGTGGGGAGCCCCTTTGCTCCCCCTTCCCATTAAGCACCCATGCAGGACAGGAGGCTTTGCATGCTCCCCTACGCCCAGGCCAGTCAGAGCTTGGGGCAGAGGAGCGCACCAAGTTTCCTCCTCCCTGCTAGGAGCATACAGCACTTTTCTAAGTGTCATGCACTCCTCACAGGGTGGAGGAAGCTTCATGCAGTTTCCCCACCTTCAGGCTCAGCAGGGGAGGGCAAAAGAGCCCTCGCAGGCCAGATCCTGGCAGGTGGATACTTCACCCCCTCCTCCACCTCCAAGCCAATCAGGGTTTGGGGGCAGGGAACCATGTGTAGTCTTCTCCCACCCTGCCCGGAGCATGTGGCACTTCAAAGTGCTATGTGCTCCTGGCAGGGTGGAGGAAAGTTAAGTGCACACTTCCCCTGCCCCCAGGCCCTAATTGGCCTGGGGACAGGGGAACAGCAGGACCTCAGCAGGCTGGATCAACCCCGTTGGTGGACCAAATCCGGCTCATGGAGGCCCTTTTGCCCACCTGTGCTGTAGATAGTTTCTCACATTGTTTGCTTTTTGACTGCTGCTGCACATTGACTGGATGTTTTCAGAGAACTATTACCAAAAAAAGTAGAGAATAGGACAGAATATTTTATTGCCCCTATATAAATTCATGGTACGCCTGCTTCTTGAATACTGTGTATAGAAGTCACTTCATCTTAAAAAAAAGTGACATTGGCATGAAACAAGCTTCAAAAAAGGGCAACAAAAATAATTAGGGGTTTGAAATGGGTGCTATATGAAGAGAGATTAAAGACATTGGGACATCATCTTACAAGACCAAGGGGGGTGGGGCAGGGAGGATGATAATGATAGAAGTCTAAAATCATGGCAGGTATGGAAGGAGTAAGGAAAAAGTTATTTACTTGTTTCTGTAACAAGAACTAGGGGTCACCCAATGAAATAGGTAGCAGGTTTAGAACAAACAAAAGGAAGTACTTCATGTAAGGCACAGTCAACCTGTGGAACTGCTTGCCAGAGGATGTTGTGAAGACTAGGACTTTAACAAGGTTCAAGGAATAACTAGCTAAATTAATGAAGGATAGGTCCATCAATAGTCATTAGCCAGGATGGGTAGGAATGGTGTCTCCTACCCTCTGTTTGTCAGAGGCTGGAAATGGGTGACAGGAAAGGGATCACTTGATCACCTGTTCTGTTTGTTCCCTGGGGCACTTGGCAATGGCCACAGTCAGAAGACTGTATACTCCGCTAGATGGAGCTTTGTCCTGACCCAGTATGACTGTTCTTATAAGTAGTACTAGCTGGTACATAAAAAGGCTATAGAAAGTTTTTCCTGGTGGACAGAGTGACCCAGCCTCCCTGGTACTCAGCAGGCTAGGGGAGGGAGCCAGGCACCCTTCCCAGTGCTCCTAGAGCAGAGGCAGTCCGGAAGCCACATCCCATCCCTGTTTGTGGTGGGGGAACATCCAGGAGCTGCAAGGCCACCCCTGCCATGGCCTCAGCCAGCCTAACCCCCTGGTGCGGGAGGGGTGGGGGAGTCAGAGGAGAGAGCCAGGTGCAGCCAGGCCTTGGCCCCCCCTTCCTCTATGGTGGCTGGGGGGACACGAGAAAGAGAGGGGCAAAGAGGCTGAGGTTGCTTCAGCTGGGTGGGAGGGAAGAGCCAGGA